CGCGTCTCTTGGCTAGTTGGCTTGATAAAACGTATAAAAGGCGCCACATCTGCGTGTGACGGTCTGTCTAATTTATTGCATTTAGTCTTAAAGTTAGACATTTATTGGGTCCTGATCTATCTGAAGACTTAAATGGCTTTGCATTATCATGCGTCGTGTTTTGCGCAAATTTTTCTTTTAGGGCCTCCGATTTTTAACTGGCCGGGGCCTCTCCAAACCTCTGAAAGGCCCTAAGTATATGTAGTGCATATACTAAAAAATCCAAAATATTTGCAATATATTTTGGTTATTATAACAATTATGGTTAATATATTTACTAAATCTTTGTAATTTTTTAGCAGTATTTGTGTTTATGTCATTGTTAGTTGTTATATTTGTTATTATCGTTATTTTTATTATTGCTACTTTTTATTATAATTTTTTATTGTTATAATTACTTGGTGTCACTCCTTCTGATCTTTTTGCTTCTGCATGAGTTACGCGTTCCTGGTAAATAATTATTTATATTTATTCTTATTAATGATATTTTCTTATGATTTTGTCATTTTTATTATTATCGATTTTATTATTGTTATTATATGATTGTAAATTTGGAAAAAGGAAAATAAATATTTTGTTGCTGTCGTTGTTGTTGTATACTAATTAAACAACATCATTGTCTTTGGGCATAGCAACGTTTAGATACGATGAGATAAACATCACAAAAACTAGTTAACGGAGCAGCCTAACGGAGGAATTATAAATTGAAGGAATTATCGGAGCGGCTATTAAATGGCAGAATTAGAATACAATATTTATTTCCCTCTATTTTATAACCGGCCATTTAGAGTTTTTTTCTTAACAGGCACTCAAATTTTCCGTTAGTTTAACGGAGAGAAGTGAATACGGCTGCTGGTTTGCTAAAGGGAAGTTAAAATTCCGATGGTTTAGTAAAGAAAAAATATTTAAGAAGTTCTTTCATCTTCATTGACAATCCTTTGTGAAAATATAAATAAACAAAACGTTTTCCCTCGCAGAGTCTTTAGTTAAACAAAAATTATAATAACCAGTAAAAAATCACCGCACAAAAAACAAATCGTCTCCGACTTCTATTTTTAAATAAGTTAAGCATTACGTAATTTATGGACGACCCTTATGCTTACTTTTCTTTTTACATACACGTAAATTTAACGAGTTAAGAATAAGATAAATGGATGATTTAATAACTAAATTTTTTTTTTTTTGATGCGAGTTGTATTATAATTTAAAAATTTGCAAATTTACAGAAAATATTATATGCCCCATAAAATCATATATTTTTACCGCAAAGTCAGCGTTTATAAGAGATACCTAAATTCATTATTATCTTCGCTGTAACCAGAGGCGTAGCTAGGGTTATCTGCGCCCAGGAACATGACACAATGTCTGCGCCCCTGCTTGGATCAAAAATTATTAATATTGTTATTAAGAAAAAAAGTATATATATAAAAATTTGAAACAAATAACTTTATATTTATAATAAATAAGCTTTAATATATACTATATCATATTTATATAATTGATTCCTTAATTGTAAATAAAAAATTTTATATTTATTATTTATACACTTATTAAATTTTTAAATAAATGTTATTATAAAATAAAATGTATTTTGCATATATGTAAGTTAAATACATGCGTATCTGTATAGCATTTATGTGTTAATTTATGAATAAGACCGACAGAATCTGGGGGCTCACTGAGCCACTATGATATTTTTTGAAATTTTACATTTTACAAGTTGTCAAGTTTTATTCTCTTATTTGTCAAATTTTAGCAAATGAATATTAATTTAGACTCATGAAAATTTATTTAAAATATACTTTTAGTAATAAAATTAATTTATTTAAGTCATTTTTATGCTTCCGAAAGTTACGGTTTTTCTAATTGTAGCACGATAAAAAAGTATCATTGTAAAATTTTATTTTAACCATTAATTTATTTGATTATCGGAAGTAATTTAGCGTTAAAATGGAGCTAACATGTTCAAATTGTTGTTGATCAATTTTTATACTTTATAAAATACATATATTTCAAAAAAATAACGAAAGAACTTTTGCAATTTTTATGTAAGGTACGTTAACAAAAACATGATGAAGTTTTGTTTTTTTCTAAAATTTAGTTAAAAAACTTAAATTTTTTAATAATATATGCGAAAGAATATTAAATGTTACGTTTTTACATTTAAAGTTTTGAATAAAATTGCATAAAAGAGCAATAGCCATAAGGTTAATAAAATTGGAATGAGTAATGCTGGCATTCTTTTTTTACACAATTTTTGGTTGTAAAGTACAAATTACAATGCTTGCAGAACCTCTAAGATAAATTTTATTGCACAGAGGGACAAAACAGATCGTAAAGAGAAATATTGAGTGATTTCAATGATCAACGAATGGTGCTCTGAATATTGGAGGTATAAGAAAAAGTAAAGAATGAAAACAATTCTTGCTGGTGACGTCTGAAACGAATACAGCTTTCAAGACATCTTCTGACAGGTAGATTGGAATAGATAAAGACGGACATCAACCGGGAGTAACATGAAAATAAGAGCCCCTTTTCAAAAAACTACATACAAGATCCTCACATTTTATAATTTGCGTGAAATATTGGCTAATGCGCACATTAGCCAATATTTCACAACCATTCCTGATCCTTCGACAACCATTTACAACCATTCCTAATCCTTCGACAAGAAATGACGAGCATCGAACTCAGTCTTGCCGTCTGTATTGATATACTCAACGACCGTTGGAAACTGATCAATCATCAGACCTAAAAATATCGAGGCACAGCTCTTTCCAGTGAAATCAAAAGTCTGTTATCTCTAAAAGAAAATCCACTGTCCTACCTTAGCAATGAAGATAACTAGTTCTTTAAGTCTTGCTATATACATTGTATTTTGATAAAGAGTTGATATTAAAAATGAATTGAAATTCCTTGAGAGTCTAGATAAGTTCCATAATGATCATGAGGGATAATCAATCCTGCTAAATTAACCCTGACAACAAACACTGGCTTAACCACCTTGGTCAGAATCTTTTGTAATGGAATCAGACTCTGGCCTTCAATGCCTGCGTAGAAAGACGGGATGAGCTTGTGCTTTGCGACGATGGCCCGATCATGAACAGGAAGAGAAACTTGATATTCCATATGCATTAATAAACTTGTTTGTTAGCAGTGGTGATTCCAAGCTATTTTGTCTTGACTTATAAAACAAACATCTTTGGGGCCTAAAAAAGAGCAAATATCTTCCATATTCCATATAGTTGCTGTACAAAATGGATCATTTACGTGACTTGAATGAAGATTATTTTAGGCGTGCATCAATTTGATTGGAACTGTGTGAACGTATCTCTTTTCTTTAAATAATTTGCTGCGTTTTGGCATCAACCGAGTATATTAAGCACTTCTGATAATATCGTAGCCTCTCTTTTTGAGCTCGGCACCAAGCTCATTCAACTATTTGAACCTCTTCATAAAGTAATTAAAAATTTTTAAGTGAATAATTAAGGCCTTAAGTGAATAAATAAAGCTAAACAAGTATATTTAGGCCTAATATAGTCCATATTATTAAAACTAAAATAAATAAAAATCTATAACATGACGTTTTATTCTGATGACCCCCTCCCCCTTCCTATTAGCATGACGTCCTTTATGGATGGCCCCATTTTAAAAATTTGACTTAATGTAAATAAGGCAATACACATTAACGAAAGAAGTGTGAGTAAAAACTTCGACAAATCGAATATTTAAATGACTCAAATAAATATTAATAAAGTTGTAATACTAAAATAATTTTTTAAAGTTGCTCTTAGTTTTGCGGAATAACTGTTTTCGATTTGATAACTAGCATAAATGTTATGAATCACTTGCATATATTTGTCATATAATTATATTATTCAGGTTTAAAAATAGTCAATTTATTTATAATACTCACATCATAACAAACCTTTTCTTTTCTCGTTGTTGTTCAAGTTAAAAGTATTTTAGAATTTGTACCTTTAACTATCAGTTTTGGTATAACTAGCACACACTTGTAACGTCAACACACGTGCTTTGCATTCTGTCTGCAATATTTTTCAAAAAAACAACAGTGCACTGTTGTTATTTTTTGCAGCATTTTGCGCTTTGTTACACGTGTAACAAAACGCAAAATGCTGCAAAAAATGTTAAAACAGAGACAGCTTTTAACATTTAAATTCTTTCATTTATCAAGATTTTGCAAACCACCATACTTATTAGGATACGATAGTTTACATAAAAAAAAATTAAATAATTAGTTTTAAAACTCATTTTGGCGTTCTCTAACCAGAGGCGGAACTTCAAAATTTAGGCCCCCCCCCCGCAAAAAAATGTTTTATTTGCGGAAAAGAGTTTTATAGTATAAATATTATTGAGAGTATAACTTTTTTTATATGAGGGCTCCTATAGCTGGTAGGCCCCCCCGCAACGCAGGGTCCTGCGTCCAGTAGTTCCGCCACTGTCTCTAACGTTGTGTATGGGGACATATGCCCTCCCCCTCCCCTAATTACTAGGCACTAGTACAGTCACTTGCTGTAACTCAATATTTGTTTGTGAATTTGTGAAAAAAAATAATGTATTCTTATATATTATTTATAAAATATTTTATTTTTTAAGAGATTTTATTTTTAATTAAGTTGCTTTTTAATACAACAAAGTTATAAATTAAATCGGCTTTATTACGCCTTAATTTTTTTCTTTTAGTTTGATCTTGTGATGGTAGAAGGGCTTCTGTATCCAATGAGCAATGGAATAATAACTATTTTTAATTACAAGTTAATTTTATTATTTTATTTAATAACTTTTTACTTAATAAAAAAGTAAGCAGCTTTTGTTTTTACAAAAGTTAAGATCAATTTAATGCAAGAGTATTATGCTTATTACCCCCGTTTTTTTATTGTATACTGTTTGCTGGTACTTTTTTCGTACAAAATATTAGAAACATCTTGAAACACTGTTGATTTTTATGTATCCTAAATTTGTAGATAAGCTTTTTTTTTGCTCAGTTAAAACCCCCGTTATATAATTTTAAATACTGTTTGCTTTGTATTTTATAGGGAAGGACAGAATAAATATCTGCGCAGGTACGCTTTTTAAATTAAACTTTTAATTAATTATATATTTATATATATATATATATATAAATTAGTAAAAACATTTATCTAAATGCCTTCTACAGTCTGTTTCACCTTCTGAAGGTTCGTCAGAAAGAATGTTTGAAAATTAGAAAATAGACATAAAAGTAATAGAAAATAGACATTACCTATAGAAGGTGAAACAGACAATAAATAAGTGTTTTTACTAACTTATTATTGCTCTTTTCTTTAAAAACATAGACCACTATTTGTAGAACACTTTAACATATATATATATATATATATATATATATATATATATATATATATATATATATATATATATATATATATATATATATATATATATATATATATATATATATAATATTATATATCTGTGTGTGTGTGTGTGTGTGTGTGTGTGTGTGTGTGTGTGTGTGTGTGTGTGTGTGTGCAGCTTTGAAAATAACAGCCTGTCAACGACCAACTGAAATGACTAAAATTGCTAGTTTGACCTTCTAAAATGAATTCTTGTTGGTCATAGTTACAGATTCAAAGAAAAATCTTGTTGGTCATAGTTAAAGATTGAAAAAAAAAATAAGGTTTGACAAATAATCAGTATGTAATTTAAAAAAGGAATATACTAAATATTTTATAAATGTTTGATAAAATCATTTGAATTTTGAAAATGTGTTTAAAAAAGTTTTATTGTTTACGATATGCTACTTTCATTCGGTTTGTTGATGAATATGATGTACAAACTATTAATTTTTTTGCTTTACTTCTTTTAGATTAATGGTGGTAAAAATCCTTTTTTTTATGTATAATTAAAGTTCTTACTTTATTGTTATTTTAATAAAAATGTTTATTATATTTTTTTAATAATAATATAATAATATATAACTATTGCGGTACTTTGTAAAAAACTTTGATTTTTTAAATCTTATTTTCTAGTAAGTTTTTTCCACAAATTGCTATAAATAAATGAATGATTTATGGATAAATTTAAAGTTACTATTTTAAAATTTATTTAAATTTCCGCTTTTTTTTCTAAAATGTATAGGTATTTAATAAAAATATATGGGATATTTAGTAAAAATCTGATTTTATGTAACATTAGTAATTTTTATATTAGTCTTTTATAAAATGATCGTGTTCTTAGTATTAAGTATTAGTTTAAAATAGCGCTACTGCACACAAGAGTTAATAACATTATTGATAAGTAAATAACATTAGCAGTTTTTAAAATGATTTTAATGAGCAGAGATGTAAAATGTGAAGTTATTTTTCTTTAATAATGTTGATTTTAAAGATTGAAATTCTTATTTTCAGTTTTTTTTATTACTTAATTATTAAAATTGGAGGCAAAGATTATTTTTCCAAATATTATTTATTAAAAAATAATTGCTGCACTTTAACTTATTAAAAAAAAAGTTTAACTTACACTTTGTGCAAATTTTTGATGCAGCCATTTATTTAACTTTAATTTTGAGTAATAAAAAAAAGTTTAGGAAGGAAAATCGAAAAAAATAATTGCAATAAAAATGAGCTAATTTTTTTTTAGGCATAAAATTTAAATATTGGCAATATTTAGTAATATTTTTAAATAAATTTGACAGTTAAGTTAACTTTAATTTTAATAAACCCAAGCATTAACTTTAATTTTAATAAACTTAAATATATTTTTTAAATCAAAATCAAATTACATATATTTAAATCTAAATTAAGTTATACATTTTTTTTTATCAGAAATACATTTTTAGTTGAAATTTTGTTTAACTTAACATTAGTAATTGTTATAGTTACAATTTCTTTTTGTATTAAGTTTGCAGTTGAAGTTTTTTTTTTTTTAAAAAAAATCGTTTTAATAATTAAAAAAATATATATTTTTAAATTATCAAAATTTAATTTAATGTTATTTTTATTTTAGTTGAAAAACTTCCTTTTTCAACTAAAATAAAAATCTGTGTACGAAAGTAATTTAAAACTATTAACATCAACTGGTTATTAAAATGTTAGTTATTTTTGTTTCCATTTAGAAAATGCGTTGATTTTATTTAAAATTGTTTCAAAAGGAATATGAATTTGTTTATTTACCAAGACGAAAATTTTCAAAAAAACAACAACAATTGATTGTCAATTTCATGTGTTAGCCGGTCAAATTCCTATGGCTTTAAATTTACCATTTGTGGTAAAAAATGACCTTTTTTTGACTTTTTGTTGCATTTTTATGGCTTTTTAAAAAGCCATAAAAATGCAACTTAATAGACTGGTTTTTGTTTTCTTTTAATAAAAATAAAAACATTCTGAATGATTTTATTTTTTAAATTTTCATTGCTTATATTATATATATATATATATATATATATATATATATATATTAAATTTTCATTGTATATATATATATATATATATATATATATATATATATATATATATATATATATATATATATATATATATATATATATATATATATATATATATATATATATATATATACATATATATATATATATATACATATATATATATATATATATATATATATATATATATATATATATATATATATATATATATATCAGTGGTTCCCAACCGGTGGTCCATGGACCCCTGGGGGTCCATAAGAACTTTTTAAGCGGACCACAAGATAAACGTAAATTCTAAATATTTTTTGGTAGTGAAACTTAATTTTGATTATTTTTTTCTGTTGAAAGAAACAAATTAAATTTTAAATTAAAAATGTAATTTATGCGAGAAAGCTGTTACACAAAATTTGCGTTAACTAATTCGACGAGGACTTGCGGACCTCTACGAAGTAATAAATGCTATATAATATCATTTTTTATCCGTAAATTTAAAATGTTAAAATCTTATCTCATGGTAAAGATAACCTTACTGATTTGTTTGAAAGAACGTAATTTGTGTTATTTTCTATAAAAATTCGATACTATACTACTCTTATCTATAGATGCTTTTTATATTATTTTTTAAATACTTTAGATGTCTAAAAGTAAAAAAAGGTCATACTTAGATGAATACATGAGATATGGATTTACCTACATGCTTAAAGAAACCATTAGCTACCCACAGTGTGTTATTTGTTATAAAGTACTAGGAAATGACTCTATGAAACCTTCAAAGCTTGCTATTCACTTGAATAAGTGCCATCCTGATCTCCAAACAAAAGATACTGATTTTTTCAAAAGAAAATTTGAATCACTGAAGAGATGCAAATTGGATAAAACTGGGATTATTTACCAAACTCAACAGAATATAGTAGAAGCATCCTATAAGGTTTCATATATAATAGCACAGAACAAAAAAGCTCACACATTGGCTGAAGAAGTTATACTTCCATGTTCAAAAGAAATCGTTAGATTATTATTTGGAGAAGAAGCTGCAAAGAAGGTAGATAATATATCTTTATCAAATACTACAGTCAAACGAAGGCTAACGGATATTTCATCAAACATTAAAGAAAATGTTATTAATGAAATTAAAGAATCCCCATATTTTTCTATTCAGTTGGATGAGTCCACAGATGTAAGTTCAATGGCACAACTAATTGTATATTGTAGGTATATTCACAATAACAAATTTAAAGAAGAATTTTTGTTTTCTTCTTGCCTTGAAACAACAACAAAAGCAGCTAATATTATGGAAATTTCAAAACAGTTTTTCAATGACAATCAATTACAATGGAAATATTTGTTTGGAATTACTACTGATGGAGCTCCTGCCATGATGGGTTGTAAGTCTGGATTACAGACTAGGGTGAAAGAGATTGCTCCAAATGTAGTTGGTGTACACTGTTTTATTCATAGACAGGCTTTGGCAACCAAAACTTTACCAGGTAGTTTGAAAACTGTATTTAATCAATTAGTCAAGTTGGTCAATTGTATAAAATCTTCTGCTCTTAACACTCGCCTTTTTACAAAATTTTGCTCTGACCTAAATGCTGAACACAATAAGTTATTGTTTTATACTTCTGTGCGATGGCTATCTGCTGGAAATTTTTTGGAAAGATTTTTCATGCTTAGAAATGAAGTGAAAGAATTTTTATGTCAAATGAAAAGTGGACTGGTAGAATATTTTGAGTTTGATAATTTTGAAATAACAACTGCTTATCTTGTGGACATCGTAGGTCATTTTAACAAGTTAAATTTGCAACTTCAAGGCAAAAATGCTAATGTTATTACACATTCAGATAAACTGAAGGCATTTATTGAAAAGCTCAAACTGTACAAGACTAGAATTAATAATGGAAACTTGATCATGTTTCAAAATTTAAATAACATAATTGAAGTTAACATGCTTCCTGAAGTTATAAAGACAGAAATAGTTTGTCACCTAGATAATTTGATTACTGAATTTGGTAACTATTTTCCAGATATGAATCTTTTGAGCAGTGAAGTTATTATATCACCATTTTCTTGTGATGTGAAAAATGTGAAAGAGGAAGCACAAGAAGAGTTTATAGAGTTAAAGAATGATACCACGGCTAAGGATCACTTCAAAGTAGCACCATTAAATAACTTCTGGTTGAAAATGAGGAATTCATATCCATTGTGTTCATCAATTGCACTTAAAGCCCTTATTCCTTTTTCAACATCATATTTGTGTGAAGCCGGGTTTTCAGCAATGCTATCTCTTAAAACAAAAAAAAGAAATAGACTTGATATTGATGCAGATATTAGATGTGCTCTATCAAAAACTAAACCAAATTTTCAGATATTAATTGCTAGTAAGCAGTGTCAGAATTCACACTGATCTGTTCTTGTATCATACATAAACTAAGATAAAAAATTTTTGTGTCATTGATAAATATTGATTTTGTGTCTAGTCTATTCAAAAATACCTTAAATAAAATATTATCCTTATGAATAAAAGTTACATTATTAAAATGTTCACCTTGTAATAATTTTTAAAATCAAAGGGGTCCATGAAGATTTAAGGATATTTAATTTGGGGAACGGGTTAGAAAAGGTTGGGAACCACTGATATATATACATATATATATATATATATACATATATATATACATATATATATATATATATACATATATATATATATATATATATATATATATATATACATGTATGTATATATATATATATATACATATATATATATATATATATATATATATATATATATATATATATATATATATATATATATATATATATATATATATATGTATAAATGATCACAAAATATATTTTTTTCTGAGACTGGTTGTTGAAGAAATAGTTAGATGAGTTTTTTTTTAATAATTAGTATATACATATATCTGTGTGTATAAGTATGCTTGATATATTACACAATCTTATTTATTGCATCTAGTGATATTTTTTTCATAACTAATAGCTAAGTTCATTTGAAGCGATTCATAATGGGTTTGAATGATGAAGAAGTTAAAAAACAAGTAAGTCTAAAATAATCAGTTTTAAGAATTTTTTTTCTTTTTGAAAAGTAATTTTTACTAAATACCTTTTCGCTTTGTTTATAGATTGATCATATGATGGCCTTTATCCATCAAGAGGCGAAAGAGAAAGCAGAAGAAATTGATGCTAAGGTTTACATTAAACTAATTTTTTTTCTGTGCGTGATTTTTTATTTTTCTTTGTTTTAGCAATTAAAAGCTGGGACTTTATGCAATATGCATACTATTTTGATTTTCTTAAAGAACAATTATAACTAAAGTATTTTTATCATATTTTAGGCTATCTGAATTAAATATACACATTTTTACAATTTTATTTTTTTGAGTAATAATATCGCTACATTTTGAAAAATATACAATAATTTTCAAAACGCCATACTCTAGCTAGAAATAATTGATGACTGCCGTTTCTCATCGAAAATATATTAAATATGAGTCGCAGAAGTATAATATTTTACTTGAAATACTCACTAGCAATTTATTTTCATAAAAATAACTACATGAAATTGACAAATTTGCAACATCCGTGCGTGACTTCTGTTCGTGATCATTCATAAACTGCATTTAAATGATTGCTGTGACTCTATGATTCATAGTGCAATCCTGTAACTTTCTGGAAATCTTTACTAATGTTTAAAATATTATTTAAAAAAAAAAGTATACCAGTGAAACTTATATTGTCCGAGGAATTAAAGTTTATTTATCTAGTAACTAAAATAGAAGTTTTTCTGTTCCGTGCGTGATTCCATTTCAAACTTTGTTTATTCTTTGTTAACATTACTAATTCTTACTATTTTTTGTTTACAAAATATTTATATTGATTAGAATTAAATGAGAGTAAATTGGAGATCGCTAGTTTTTTTTTTATGAAAAAAAAAGTAAAAACATATACGAGTTTCCGTGCATAATTTTTTGGAAATGCCCTTATATGTTGGGTGACCTGTAGTAAATGTATTTATATTATGTTATTATGTGTTATGTGGTCACCTATAAATGATAACATAGTATATTCAGTGCTTGACAATTTTTTTTATTAACAAACATTGACGTTTGTTTTAATATTTATTGGCGAACGTCTATATATTCTTCTCTCTTTGAAATTTACCACAAACATTTTTAGGCTGGTGTGTGTGATTCTAAAATTTATTTTTTGTTCGCTATTTTAAATAAAATAAAAACAAGAAAGTGACCGTTTTGATTAAGTTCCAGATAAAATAATTAAAAATAAATAAAAATGACAGATAAAATAAATAAAAATGACTGTAGTGGCCCAAAGGGGCCACTACAGTCGAGAGGCTACTCATTTTTTTATTATTATTATTATTATTTTTTTTTTTTTGTAAATCGTGGTACAACCCTCTCTCAACTCTTCAACTTCAAAACACGAACCTTGACAAGCAAAGCCGCTGCGCGGAGAAATTAAGTTGATAATATTAAATATTAATAAAATTAAATAAAATAATTAAAATAAAAAAGGCAAAATAAACATTTTATTTTAGTTATAAATTGTAAAATAACATAAATATATATAGTTTTGAGCCTTAATTAGTATACAATTTAAAAAAAAATGGCACAAGAAGTTTTGAGATTAAGATGAGGATTTTGGCAAAATCTTCCCCTTTATCTCAAAAACCTTCCCTCTCAATCCTAATCAATAATTTGTGGATCAAAATTGTGTCTAACTTTTGTTGTTGCCCCAATAATTTTTCTAGATTAATCGCCGATGATAAAGAGTAAACCAAGCACCAATATATTAATTACATAGAGAATAATTGCATCAGGTGTTCAATCATGTTTATAAAAATATTTCATAATAATTTTATTTTAAGTTGTAAAACAAAAAGTAATGACTGTAATGTTTTAACAGGCCGAAGAAGAATTTAATATTGAAAAAGGGCGTCTTGTGCAGCAAGAAAGGCTTAAAATTATGGCTCTCTATGAAAAAAAAGAAAAACAAATTGATTTGCAAAGAAAAATGTAAGGTTTAGTTTCGTTACTTTTTTTACAAACAATACAAACATATGATGAACAAATAAGTTATTTATTTTTAGTTTTTTTTGTTGTTTTAAAAATTTATAATGTTACTTTTCATTAACAATTTTTTATTAAGTGATCGCTCCAATTATCTTAACGTAGCTCGTCTGCGTTTGCTAGAAACACAAAATCAATATATTCAGGTATTTGATTTCTTTTCTTTCAATTAATGATCTCATAATTGTTGGTAATAATTATTGTCAAAAAAATAAACAAATTTAGAATTATTTTTTCTAAAAATTATAAATGGCTGAATTTTTACCTAAACTTCATACTCTTATGAATTTTAGTTGTGTTTAATTTATGTTATGTTTAAACAGTTTGTTTCATGATTTTTTTTAATTTAGGAAATCCTTGAAGACGCTCGTAGTCAACTTGGTAAAGTTACTAAAGATAAGAATCATTACCAAAAAGTTCTTACTGGTCTTTTGACTCAGGTAAATTTTTATTTTATTTTTAAATTATTTTAGAAAGTTTGGAATCTAAGAAGAATAGAAATATTTTTAACAAGCAATCAATCAAAAAGCTTAAAAACTATTCAGTTATAAAGTTGATTTTTTTTTTAGTCTTTGTTTCAACTTTTGGAGCCAGTTGCCCAAATCAGATGCAGAGAGGCTGATGTTGAGCTCATCAAGGTCTATTTTTTAGAATTAAACAAACTTTTTTACTAATGTTCAAATAAATGTCCAAAATTTTAATATATTGTGAGATGCATAATTGTCAAGTTTTTTTGTTGTAACATGCTGTTCTCAAGATTGACAGTTTTAACGATATCGTTGCTTAAGAAATAACACATCCACATCATCACATGATATCCACATCATCACATGATATCGTTGCTTAAGAAATAACACATCCACATCATCACATGATATCCACATCATCACATGATATTGTTGCTAAAGAAATAACACATCCACATCATCACATGATATCCACATCATCATATGATATCGTTGCTTAAGAAATAACACATCCACACTGTGAAACTTTGGGAAATCATTTTTTTTGTAAAAAAATAAACTTACAATAAAGTACTAAAAAATAAAGTACTAATAAACTCTTTTTGATGGTTTAACATTTAAATTTGAAGTAATAACTTTTTGAATTGTTATGTGTAAAATTAGCAAGGTTTTTCATCTCTCTGAAAAGTTTACTTCTTGTCACCAAGGCTGTTTTGTTTTTTAAGTGATAATATATTTAATATTTTTCTATTAAATGTATAAAATATTAAATGTTTAAGTGATAATATATTAATATGTTTTTCTATTAAATCTATAAAAAAGGTTGCCAAAGAAGAGAGCTTAAAAGCATACTATGAAAACACCAAGAAAAGTTGTGAATTATCAATTGACATGCAACATTTTTTGAGTCCTGAATGGTGAGATTTAAATAAAAATTTATTGTTATCATTTTTAAATTTATTTTTTTGTGAGATTTCAATTCAATTTAAATTTTTTTTAAAAAATAAGGACAATAAAAATATCTTAAGATGTTTATATGTAAGGGTGTCCTTGATAACATTTTTTTAATATCTGACCAGATAAAATGATGTTTTAAATAATTGGAAATATGAAGAGAAGTTTCCACTGCTAAAACAGTTATTACTTAATTTACAAGCGCCACCTGCATTCTCTATTTTTTTGGCAAGATTGTTTTCATTATTTATGAGAAAAAGTGATCAATGCTAAAAGAAATATAAATGAGTGATAAAATGATGTATTTATTGCGCATATATAATTTTAGTAGTATTTTAATAATAATAAAAACAATATTTATTGGATACGTATTATGTGTGCATATAAAACATATAAATACAAAAATGAAAAATAATTAAATTATACTCTGCAATGCTAAGAAATTATTTTTTTGCTGTGCTTTTTTTTTCATATTTATGATATTTAAGAAAGGTCTTTAAAAGCTTTTATTTTTCTAACGTTTTGCATCTTTAAAATTGACCCTTTTTTCTTGTAAATCAAAATGATATATAACAAGCTAAATAACGTCTAACCAAACTATGGTTTCTTAAAGATTTTGCTAGATTTCTTATTTAGGTTGTTTATGTCATAAATTATGAGATGATTTCTCTTATTTTATGCTTTTTAAAGTCTAGCGCGGAGAAACAAGTTAAGCGCGGTACTATCAGGGACGTGGTGGGGATCAAACTCGGAACCTCTCGCTTATATTTATAAATACATTTTTATTTTTTGTGTTGTTTTGTTTTTTACACATAATTTTACACATTATAGCTCTGGTTTTTTACACATTTTATTTCTGGCTTTTCACATATTTTGTCCTGGTTATATATTTTTTAAATTGTGTCCTATCCCACCCACACATACACACCCACACATCGAAACCCGTGTCATCGGCCCTAATATATATCTGAAAAATATTTATTAGATTATTTTAAAAACGATTTCTTGAATTAGAAATATAAGTTATTATAAACATAAGTTAAAAATATATATACAAGATCATTTTTAAAACATTTTCCTCAATTTATTAAAAAAATAAAGATTTTTAAATCTTTCAAAATTTAACCATGTTGGATTATATAGTACTTAGTGGTGTATATAAAAAAAATTTGTTTTGGAAAGTTTAATTAACTTTTAACTTTTTTCTAATGTTTATCTATAATATGAACACAACTTGTCTTGGCGCTTGGGGTCCCTTTAAAAATAAGATACAAGTTTCATTTGTTGTTATTTATTTATATCTTCTGTCCCAATTAAAAAAAAGCTATAGACTTTATGATGGAAATTATATTGAATAATAATGAACACATTTTTAAAAAAAAACAAGATTTAGTTAAATGACATTAAAATTTTATTAGAACTTTGTCTTAGAAATTTTACTTTTTATGGAATGATGAAATTAGAACTCTAGATAACTCTGGTCTAATAGCGTTATCCCTTACGGTTGTCATACCAGAAGCTTATTTACAACCTAGAAATATTTCTATCTACCTAATATCCCTTATTTTACAACTTCTGTTTATGTATCTTTATCTGTTCAGTACCCCTGTAGCTAGAGTTGTAGCAAAAAAATGTTTTTTTCCTTTTGCTTTTTTGGGTAAAAAAAATGTTTGTTTTTTTGGTGTTTTTTTGTTTTGTTTTTTTTGGCGTTTTTCTGCAATTTTTTTGAGCAATTTTTTAGTTTTTTTGTGCATAAATTTTGGAGTAGTTTTCTTTTATTTTAGTAAATTTCATTGTACAATCATTAAAAGCACAATTACATGTATAAACACCAATTTAACTAATATTTTGAATAAAAAATTAGTTATAGGTTATATATATTTTAATAAACAAGTTATTTATAAATCTGAACATACTGTATGGAAATGTTTATTTGTCATGTTGTACTTCCTAACAACTGTGATCATTTTATAAAGAAACTATTCTTATCCTATAAGAAAGTTGCCATTTTAATTTTGATAATGTAAGTATATTATTATATCATACCATACCAATTTAATATCAGACTTCAAATGCTCAAAAAAATAAGCTATTATAGAGAAATAAATAATCTATTAAGATTATTTATTTCTTTGAGCATTTGTATAATGTGCAGTAATTTAGTCTTATATTGTTTGGTTATTATGTTTGTCAAAAAAATATATATCGCTAGTAGGCCCTTATAAAAAAATCCCTATACTGTACTTCATTTTAAGGAAAACTTAAAATTATTAAATTATTTACTGAGTTTCCCAGACTGCCTTCATCTGATGATTTGTAATTTATTTATTCATAATTCATTTTTTATCTGCACTTCTTTTACATCTAAACATTTTCATATTGCGCTAAATCACTTACAACAATTTTCAATATGTTTTATTGTTCAGGTTCAATTTTTATAATGTTATGGCAAAAAGAAAAATTTAACTTTTTCCATTTTGCTAAGTTTGTTTTAAAGGTTTAAATAAATGGGCAACTATAGTTTTACTTTTACCCTCTGTTTGGAGAGCTTAATTATAATTGATTACCAACAAGAACAATAAGAAATCACTCAATAATTTAAAGATGTCCTTTCTATATATATATATATATATATATATATATATATATATATATATATATATATATATATATATATATATATTATATATATATATTTATGTATATATATATATATACACACATATATATGTATAAATATATATATATATATATATTTATATATATATATATATATATATATATATATATATATTTATATATATATTTATATATATTTATATATATATATATATATATATATTTATGTGTATATATATATATATATATATATACACACACATATATATGTATAAATATATATATATATATATATATATATATATATATATATATATATATATATATATATATATATATATATATATATATATATACATACATACAGGTCTCAGCGGGAAGCGAGAGCTTTAGCTTTCGCTCTTGCCCACACTCCCCTAAAATAATTTACGGGAGCAATTTATTATTAAATTATTATTAAAATTATACTTTTGCTCTTGCAAAAGTATAATTTTTCGTTACGAAAGTATAATTAAATTTGTAACAAAAAATAAAAAACACTTTGTCATTTTAAAAAAATTGCATAATATACTGCAATGCATTTTAAAAAGCAGGTTGTTATTTATCGAGTACCCGGCAAATATACATAAATTACAGGCTACCCATCAACTACCAGGATTTCCGAGCCTTTGAAAAATTTACCTAGCTCCTTCAAGGGTAGCCAGTCACCTCCAAAAATTAGCAAGCAACTCCAAAATTACCAGGTACCTAGCATAACAAAAAACATTGCCAGGTACCCGGCACCGCTTTATTAAAGTCATCCTCGAAGGCTAATACTCTTCTTCATTTATATTCTTGTTTTGACAAAAAATCTTTTCTTTTTGATCACTTAGAACAGGCAGCCGATCTTGAATCTGATCTCACTTCTGTAACAGATTGGGGTTCACAGTGGGGTTGCAAATTTTAACTTCAACAAAACTCAGTTATTTACTGCAAAAAACTATTGCAATACTATTGGCGTTCCTATATTAATGAATGACAACCCTTATACTGAGCCCTCTTTTTACATCTTCTTGGATTATCATTTATTACTAACAATTCATGTAAACCTTATATACTATAGATTGCTAAATTAGCATTCACTAAGTTTGCCTCTCTTTATGATGCTCACCATTTTCTTCACCTGATTTCATTCTCTAATTCTACAAATTTATTATTCTTCCCTGTATAGAATACTTTTGTCATATTTGGGCTGGTTCTTTTAATGGTGCTCTTTTTCTTCTGACAAGGTCCAAAAACACATCGTAAATGTAGTTGAACCTACTCTATCTGCTAAGCTTAAGCCTCTTTTCCATTGTTGTAAAGTTGCATCTCTTTCTCGTTTTTAAAAATACTGTCATGGTTGCTGCTCAAAATAGTTATCATCTCTAGTTCCATTAACTAAAACTTATTCTCACTTGACTTGTCATTCAGCTAAGTCTCATTTGTTTACTGTATCTGTCCCTACATGCTCTATAAACTTTTATTTGTCCAGTTTTTTTCCCTGTATTTCACCCCTTTGAAACTCTCTCCCATCTTCATGTTTTCCTGACTCATACAGCTCTTCAAGGCTTCTGTCAACCATTTTTTTGCTCTTTTATTTTAGTAACTCTCAACTTAATAGTGGTTGCTTGCAGTCTTGTTGGAAGTGAATCAATATATATATATATATATATATATATATATATATATATATATATATATATATATATATATATATATATATATATATATTATATCAAACATTAAATGTAATTAAATATAATAAATGTAAATAAACAATTTTTATTGTTTCAATATATAACACTAAAATCAATTAAGATAAAGTTATCTAAGAAATTTTTATACAGGACTGCTCTAACTATGTTAACTTTTAAAAATACCAAAATAAAAAGAATTTTAGTAAATTTCAGTATTAGTTGTCCTATTTAAATATGAATTAAGATATTGTCATTAAAGTTAAATTTAATAGCTTAAATGATGAATTTTTAAATATTTCCAAAAAAAAAGACCCCTGCATTTTTTTCCAAAAAAGAGACAAAAAACAACGCAAAAAAATAACAATCAAAAAAAATCATCACATCTCTACCTATAGCTGCAAACATATAACTTACAATTGTTATGTTGATGATTGCCATCCACGTAAGTATTGAAACAAACTTTAGCAAAATTTGGAATCAAAACAACTTTTACAGCTAATCCTAATTTGACGTCTCTCGTGGCGGATCAAAATTGCAAAAAAAAAGTAATCCTGTTATCTTGTTCTGAGTAAATGCTGATTAAAATATATAGGGGACACAGGGAGTTTGATAAAAACTAAGAAAGA